CTAGTTGTTTAATTTGTGACTGTAGTAAGTTGTACTGAGAACTGAGAACATTGTCTAGTTGTTTAATTTGTGACTGTAGTAAGTCGTAGTCACAACTGAGAACATTGTTTAGTTGTTTAATTTCTCATTACACTCATTACACGTGACTTACTAAACTGAGAACATTGTCTAGTTGTTTAATTTATTTTTATATTTCATAATATATTTATAATACCTAGGACTTAAAACAGGATAAAATACAAACATTGGAAAAGGTTACTGCATATGTAGATGAGGGTAGGGGTGTAGATTTTGTGTATATGGATTTTCAGAAAGCATTTGACAAGGTGCCACATAAAAGGCTTGTACGAAAAATTATCTCTATAGGTATGAGGGATAAGCTAGCTAATTGGATAGTAGAGTTGCTGGATAGAAAAAAGCAGAGATTTGTTATAAATGGAGTTCAGTTATACTGGATTAATGTCATAAGTGAGATACCTCAGGGCTCAGTCTTAGGACCTTTACGCTTTTTGATTTACATCAATACATGATGTCAGAAAAACACGTATGTTCAAGAAGTCCTGATACAAAATGATAAAACGAAAGCACTTGGGTTATGCTTATAGAGTTTTATCATTTTGACTTACATCAGTGATATAGATTAAGGAAAGGTCAATAAATTACTTAAGTTTACTGATGATATTAAAATATATTGTGTTGTTAGCTGTGAAGATAATGCTGGTGCTTTACAATAGGAGTTAGATCATTTAGTGAGTTGGGTAAATAAAAGGCAGATGGGTTTTATTTATAATAAATACAAGATAATGCATGTGGGTTATCATAATTTGAGTTATAAGTATGATTTGGATAGAAATAACTTTAATAGTATATTAACTTTAATACTGTCAAATGCTTTCTGAAAATCCAGACACACTAAATCTGCACGTTTACCTTCACCTACCTAAGTAATAACCTTTTCAAAGATTGTTAAAAGATTTGTAAGGCAAGATTTTCCCTTAGTGATTCCATATTGACTGTCCAATAAAATTATAAACTTTGTTAAATGACATTGCAAAGCATCTTTTAATAGACTTTTGAAAACTTTTCCAACAACTGATGTAAGACTAATAAGCCTGTAATTACTGGGTGATAATATAGTGTAACTGGTAATTATTGGCTTCAGTGCTCTGTTATCATAATGATTCCACAAAGATGTTTCGAGTAATTTAACATAAAACTGATAAAGTGATTTGAAGGCATACAGATAGGTATTTAAGCATCTTCACCATACCTTGTCAAAGGCCACATGCTGGTTTGTTTACTCGTCAAAATAAATGCGGTAAATATGGCCGCTGAACCGTGTTCAGGTCTATTAATCAAGTTTTTCTAGTAATATTAATAAAATTAATATTTTGAATGATGTGTAGTCCTGCAGACGATGCTGTTGTACTTCTTAAACTTGAAAGTTAATTATAGCAACTAAGGAAGGATATTGAACAATTTGTAGAGTAATTTGTTGTATTCATTCTAAATTAACCATTTTTATTGTAATTTTTGTTTAAGCAGAATAATAGCTCAGAAGCTAAGACACCGGCATAAAGATAACTTTTAATTTGTTTAAAAATAAAATTTATAAAACTTAAAAGTCTAAACCACGTTTATTTATATAATATTTAGTTATTGAAATGTATTGGCTACTACTACTACTAGTGTTGGTTGAATAGTATTCGACCCCAATAACAGCGTTTCAGTTCATTTAATATTATTATGTAATTAGAATAAAGCTAGAAGAGAAATATTAAAAAGTATAATATTATACATAACTGTGAGTTAGATTGACCACTTGTATTAGGCCTATCCGTAGGCTTAAATTACGTACTTCAAACCGTTTGTGTTCATTTTAGTGTAACTATTACTAGTATTAGTATTAAAAATCAGGAGAATTTTTAACTTTTTATATAAATATTGTAAGTGCTGGAAATATCCGTGTCTTGTGTAAGACGTATTGGCAAACAGATATTGAAACTAAATAGCGTAATCGATACTACAAAATAAGTTTAAAGGGAAACCAAAAAAATGGCACCGCTACTAAACTAACAAACATCAAGAGAACAGACCAACCACTAAACTAACAAACATCAAGAGAACAGACCAACCACTGAACTGACAACTGTCAAAAAAACAGACCATCCACTGAACTGACAACTGTCAAGAAAACAGGCCAACCACTGAACTGGCAAACATCAAGAGAACAGACCAGCCACTGAACTAACAAACATCAAGAGAACAGACCAACCATTGAACTAACAAATATCGAGAGAACGGACCAGCCACTGAATTGACAAATAACCGTCAACAGAACAGACCAGCTATTGAACTAACAAACATCAAGATAACTGACCAGCCACTGAGTTGACAAATGACCGTCAAGAGAACAGACCAGCTATTGAACTAACAAATATCAAGAGAACAGACCATCCACTGAACTGACAACTGTCAAGAGAACAGACCAACCACTGAACTGAGAACTGTCAAGAGAACAGGCCAACCACTGAACTGACAAACATCAAGAGAACAGACCAACCACTGAACTGACAAACATCAAGAGAACGAACCAACCACTGAACTGACAAATAATCCTCAAGAGAACAGACCAGCCACTGAACTAACAAACATCAAGAGAACAGACCAACCACTGAACTGAAATAATCGTCAAAAAAAACAGACCAACCACTGAACTAACAAATATCGAGAGAACGGACCAGCCACTGAGTTGACAAATGACCGTCAAGAGAACAGACCAGCTATTGAACTAACAAACATCAAGATAACGGACCAGCCACTGAGTTGACAAATGACCGTCAAGAGAACAGACCAGCTATTGAACTAACAAACATCAAGATAACGGACCAGCCACTGAGTTGACAAATGACCGTCAAGAGAACAGACCAGCTATTGAACTAACAAACATCAAGATAACGGACCAGCCACTGAGTTGACAAATGTCAAGAGAATGGACCAGCTATTGAACTGACAAATAATCCTCAAGAGAATGGACCAGCTATTGAACTGACAAATAATCCTCAAGAGAATGGACCAGCTATTGAACTGACAAATATCAGGAGAACAGACCAACCACTGAACTGACAAATATCAAGAGAATGGACCAACCACTGAATTAAAAGACATCAAGAGAACGGACCATCCACTGAACTGACAACTGTCAAGAGAACAGACCATCCACTGAACTGACAACTATCAGGAGAACAGACCAACCACTGAACTGACAAACATCAAGAGAAAAGAACTTTAGACAACAAAACTGGAAATATATTTGTTGATTTCTTAATTTAGAGTCTCCGTTGGTTACTGAGGTTTGTTTTTATTAAAAACGTTGGTGATATAACAGAAAATAGCTTGATTCAGAAAATATTTAAGTTTAAAATTGAATCGATATTTTTACTTTCATGATAAATTTTATGCACTTGGCTCTAGGCTAGGTGATCCCACACGACGTCTTTACTTTAGGTTTATTTTACCAACACTCACAACACTTATAAGATTTCAAGGAACACCCCCCTCACGGCCCCTTGCACCCCCGTCACTAAAATCGTAATGGGCAGAGAGTAATCGAACTATTCTATCTGGATAAATTCATTTTGGCTTTTATGACTACTCCTATTTCGAGAAATCAAGCGTGACGTGACACACACTGGCTTTTATATAGGCTAGATACTTAGAACAAAAACAGAAACAATATTTATAACTGGTAAAACATTAATTCTACAATTGTATTTCGTTTTCAAGTCTTGAAGATAGCTTTGATATACGGAAACATCTGTTAACTGAGTTCTTGCACTGATCTTAAAATATAACATTGGTAAATGGAAACATCGGCTCATGCAGATACGAAGATCTTGAAAGTCGAGTTGTTCAAAACTTGAAAATAGCGTTGATAACTAGACCAATTGCTGGCTCAGATGTTGCAAAATAAATATCTACTGAAGCTTTTCGCCAGACACTAACCATAGCAGAACCGTCTGGAACATGATCTATAGGAAATAGTACAGCTTATAAAATGAATCAGATCAACGTAGGCCGGTAAGGCAGTCACTGATTGGCATGTCCTTTAGCTAATCAGGAAATGTCACAGATCTACTGAAGGATGTGTAGATTGTATAGGAACTCTTTTTGGCGGCAAATGAGGGGTTTATGTGTTTTAATAAAGGTGGCTTCCAAAATAGGACCATTTGCAATAATTTCAAACCTGCTATCCGTGTAGTTGTCAGCACAAATCGGGTTCACTAGTAAATGCTGGCCAATCGCTGATTCACATTAAGTGTTGTTCACTTATAAATGTTGGATAAAAGTAAGAACCATGACAGAAGTCGTTCGGTTAGTTTTAAGTGTTGTTTCCTTACCAATGTTGGATAAATGTAAGAACCACGATGTAAGTCGTTCGGTTAGTTTTAAGTGTTGCTTTCTTACCAATGTTGGATAAAAGTAAAAACCATGACAGAAGTCGTTCGGTTAGTTTTAAGTGTTGTTTCCTTACCAATGTTGGATAAATGTAAGAACCACGATGTAAGTCGTTCGGTTAGTTTTAAGTATTGTTTCCTTACCAATGTTGGATAAAAGTAAGAACCATGACAGAAGTCGTTCAGTTAGTTTTAAGTGTTGTTTCCTTACCAATGTTGGATAAAAGTAAAAACCATGACAGAAGTCGTTCGGTTAGTTTTAAGTGTTGTTTTCTTACCAATGTTGGATAAAAGTAAAAACCACAATAGAAATCGTTAAGTTAGTTTTAAGTGTTGTTTCTCTACCAATGTTGGATAAAAGTAAAAACCACGACAGAAGTCGTTCGGTTAGTTTTAAGTGTTGTTCACTTACCAATTTTACATAAAAGCAAGAACTCTAGATAAGTCGTTCGGTTAGTTTTAAATATTACTTACAATTTAATGTTTTTAAGTAAAAATCTTGCAATACACTAGTATTAAAATAAACCATTCAATAGATAAACGTAAAGAATGCATATATATATCTTTATTACGTAAATACAATAAAAGAGAAATTTAATGACAACATTTTCATATTGTTCAGAGCTGTGTGTAAATCTGTGATGAAATGTAGAAGACAAGCAGAAAGATCGAACTTTCCATTTTCATCCAGCCTACTGTTCTTGATGCGCCACCTAGGAAAAAAGTTTTAGCTGTACTAAATGCATTAACTTCAAACAATATGATGTGTTTAGTACATTACAGTGTCTTTTCAGTGTTTATCCGATCCTCACAAGAAGTTTTGTTAATTTCTTATTTACTGTTGTTTCCCTAGGACCAAATATTTAATGTACACATAAACTGGAGAGTCAGTTTTCGTTCTCTACAAGGTACAAACACTTAGAATGGTCTAACTAACCGATTTTGTAACACGAAATGTTCACTACAATTATGTAATAAGTAACAACTTCCAAACAGATAAGCTATTTACTTAGAGCGAAACTAGAAATAATTCTGGCCATCAGTACAGCTAACTAAGTATACTTTTCTTTACTTATAAAGATTAGTACGTACTGTTAGGTACCATCTTTGTAAACGATCATAATATATTGTGAAGGTGCAACTCGAAGGTATATGGAATAGGTTTGTTCATACACAACAAATGTAAACTAAAGTATAGTTGATAACTATAATATAGGCCTAAAAAGCTTCTATTATCGCACATTGGGCTGTACTTATCCCACTTATTTAACTCTTAAAAGACACGTGTGTATTATTAAATCTTACCTTTGAATAGAGTGGGGTTTGATAAGTTATGTGTGTATGTGGATCTCTGTATATTTAACCGCCTGATGACTTATGTAATGACTGTAGTTAGGGGTAGAATGAATCAAGTTAATTTTTGTTCACTTGTCAAAATATCCACCCTCGTACTCGCGACAATCTTTACAAAACCATATAAGGTGTATTTATCTCTTTATCGAATACAGGCCGTACTTAATAAAGGTTAACTACCGTTACTGTTAAGCCTAAAACAAGTGAAATTTCAGTGTCTACGATTAGAATTATTTTGTATTATTCTAGAAATCCTGTATTTAAAGAAGTGATGCTGTAATAAAGATACTAATTTGACATCAAATGTTTTGCGGGTCTCTTCTCGTATTATTGTAACACTATACTATGTTGTCGCGTAGTACTAGACAATGAGGCCGTGTAAGTCGACTTCTGCTGTTCGATAACGATAATTATGTTTTCTTTTGTCAAACAACAAATACTCATGTCCATGCTGATCATATTACTGGTACTGGAAAAATAAAGCAAAAGGTTCCTTCCTGTCACATTGTCATCTTCAAGTCGCCCAACGCTAAATCTGACATTCATGTTGAACATGGCCATGATTGGTGGCCACGAGCTGGAGGTTAGAAGTACTCCTGGACACACTTATGGTACGTTCGATAGTAACTTTTTGACCTATAAAAGGATTGAAGCTCAAAAACCTAGTAAGTTGTAGAAGAGATGATGAGAAATGTGAAGAGGGGGACAAATAATCACACGTTAGTATGTACTGAAGTATACCTCTGAAGTTGTAAGATTAAACATTCCCCATGAGGAACGGCTAACCTGGATAGTTGTGTATAAAATTATATTTTGTTGTAAAAGGATTGAAGCTCAAAAACCTAGTAAGTTGTAGAAGAGGTGATGAGAAATGTGAAGAGGGGACAAATAATCACACGTTAGTATGTATTGAAGTATACCTCTGAAGTTGTAAGATTAAACATTCCCCATGAGGAACGGCTAACCTGGATAGTTGTGTATAAAATTATATTTTGTTGTAAAAGGATTGAAGCTCAAAAACCTAGTAAGTTGTAGAAGAGGTGATGAGAAATGTGAAGAGGGGGACAAATAATCACACGTTAGTATGTATTGAAGTATACCTCTGAAGTTGTAAGATTAAACATTCCCCATGAGGAACGGCTAACCTGGATAGTTGTGTATAAAATTATATTTTGTTGAAATATCAGAACGTGATATATTTCTTTGGCCACAGCCTCAAGTGGATCATGCAT